TTTCTTTCTTTCTTTCTTTCTTTCTTTCTTTCTTTCTTTCTTTCTTTTTTTTTTTCTTTCGTTTTTGAGACAGTTCCTCTGTGTAGTCTTGGCTGTTCTAGAATTCTGTAGACCAGGCTGGCCTCAAATTGAGAGATCTGCCTGCCTCTGCATCCCAGTGCTGGGATTAAAGGTGTGTGCCACTATACCTGGCCTCAAGTGATTTATTGCTTTCCAGTTTAGCCGCCTTTTTTTTTCCTGACAGTAGTAGTGGAGGGCTACAGGCATTTCCCAGCCTGGCTGAAAAGGACTGTTGAGGAAAAACTATTTCATTAATCTGGGGAGGCAAAGTTCCAGTGGCATGGGGGAAGGAGAGAAGCTGGAGGAAAGTGTAGTTATGGGGAGTTTCGGGAACAAACAGCGATTTTCAACATTGAGGCTAGGAATGGAAACACAGAGGCTCAATGGAGGAAGGTCATTCTTGGCAGTCACCGCTTTGCTGGAACATGAAGTGTGGGTGAATCTCGTTAGCCCTGTACAGGGAGCTCAGAGATCAGGTGGAAATCACCCTGCTGGCAGGTGAGATGGCTCAGCCAGGACAGGCAGCTGCTGCTGTCCCGAGCTGAGGTCAGTCCCCAGGATCCACCTGGTGGAGGCGGAGAGAACTGACTCCCACAAGTCCTCTGACCTGCATATGTGCATGGTGTGTGGTAAGCAATAAAAATGCAACACACCTCTAATGTAGTGCGATACGTTTCTGTTGGGAGAGACAGTGGAGGCATCCCAGCTGTGCTTTAGAGCAGGCAAGGAGGGGAACTCCAAAGACGCTAGACATAGTCAGGTATAAGGCTTCAGTTGAAAAGGTTGTATCATGTTACATCTCGCTGCCATGCTATGTTATCAATAGCTAAAAGAATAATAAAGGCTACCACGAAAAAAATGCAACAATGTAAGAGAGTTCTCCAGCACTGAGGGCTTTTTGTTGTTGTTGTTTTGTTTGATTTGGTTTTGGTTTTGGTTTTATTTCCTTCAAGATTTACTTGAAGCCTGGCATGGTAGTGCACACCTTTAATTCCAGCACTTGGGTGGCAGAGGCAGGCAGATCTCTGTGAGTCTGCGGACACAGAGAAACTCTCCAAAAAAACCAAACCAAAGCAAAACAACAACAAAACCCAACCAATCAATCAAACAAGAAAACCCGAAAACAAAACCAAATCCTGAGCGCACTCGAGCGCGCGCGCGCGCGCGCGTGTGTGTGTGTGTGTGTGTGTGTGTGTTCAGTGTCAGTGTGTTGCCAGAGGACATCAGATCCTCTTGAACTGAAGTTATGGGCAGTGTGAGCTACCTGGTGTGGGTGCTGGGAACCGAACCTGGGTCCTCTGAAAGAGCAGCCAGCATTCTTAACTGCAGAATCATTTCTCCAGACCCCTTTGATAAAATTTAAATGGGAGGAAAGTCTTGATTTTTGCAGTTGGTTTTAATGCTGTAGATTCTACATTTCCGGAACGTTCTGTCAGAATATCAGGCAGTGTTACTGTATTGTGATCTAGGCACTGTGGTCCTTTTCATGTGGTAAGTGGGGTAAGTGCGCCCCAGGTGTCCTCTAAGGCCCGAGGCTGAGGCAGGAGTGTTGCTTAAGCTCTGGTGTTTGATACATAGTGGAATTCTAACTCAAAAGCAAAAACTGACCAAAGAAAACAGCAGCAAGTCAGGTGATAATGGGTCTGTCCATCAACTTTGGAGCAAAGTCTATTTTCATAGATTAAAGTACCTGATTTTTATGCTGACAAGCTTGCTGTGGCTTAGAGTCCAGTGAGGCCAGGGGCTCTTTGTCTGCTCAGGGTTGAGCACTGGGCTAAGTGGCCATCTCTCATGAACTTTCTTCAGTTGCACTCCAGCAATTCTGCAGATGTTCACACGTCTGCCTCAGTTGCCTTTCAAGCAAATCTGTTCACCTGAAGAGTCTGAAGTGACTTATTTCTGGCAGCTCAAGAGTTAATATGGAATTTCGTATGGCTTGGTGTGATTTTTTTTTCCTGAACAACTTGAGAAATTGGGACTGGGGACGTAGCTCAGTTTGTGAAATGCCTAGCATGCACACAGCCCTGTGTTCAAATGACAGCAGCTTATAAATTGGGCGTAGCACTGTAAGCCCTAATCCCAGAACTCTTAAATCAGGAGGCAGGAACAAGAGGATCAGAAGTTCAAGGTTATCTTTGGCTACACATCAAGTTTTTGAGGTTAGCCTAGGCCACATGAACATAAAAAGGGGATTAAGAAATTAAATTACTCTGTGAGAAAGGGACGGGAAGCAGTTTTTAACAAGCTTTGTTTCTGAAGCCTGATGCTAAAACTCCAACCTGTGCCGGGCTTGGTGCACACGCTCAGGCAGAGGCAGGAAGATTGCTGTGAGTTTGAGGCCAGCCTGGACCACATAGTCAGTTCAAGGCCAGCAAGGAGTACATGTTGAGACCCTATCTAAACCAAACCAAACCAAAAGTAGCAAACTACCTAAATAAGTAAGTAAATAAATAAATACAAGACTCTTGCTTTGTAGCTGAGAATAACTTGGAACTCCCTATCGTCCTGCCTCTACTTTCCCAGTGGTAGGATTACAGGCCTGTGCCATCACCCTTGGTTTATTTGGTTCTGGGAATGTGACCTAGGGTTTCAGGAATGCACTATCTCAGTTCAGTTATGACTCCAGCCCAGCCTGTGATTCTGAGTGGGAAAGCTAGTCTCCCTCTCCCCCACTTCTCTCCCGCTCTTAAGGCAGGGTCTTGAATCCAAGCGGGCTTCATATGTGCATATATACACACATATGTCACATATGTCATATGTGACACACACATACATATGTCAATATGTATGTATACATTTATCTATATATACATATATATACACACATATGTATATATAGATTATATAGATGTATATATACGTGTATAGATACATATATATGTATCTCTCTATATATGTATACATATGTATTGATATATATATATACACACACACACGCTCAGGTCTCTATTCTTGCACTTCACTGACTGAGCCATCTCCCCAGGCACCCTCCGGTTTAAACACTTTTCTGGCTCTGAGTATCTTGCAAACGACACTGTGTTTCATCTATAGGTTGCAGACCTGGGATGTGGCGATACCAAGCTCCTGAAGCTGCTAAAAATCTACCCATGCATCCAGCTGCTTGTTGGGGTAGATATCAATGAGGAAAAATTACATTCAAATGGGTAATGCTTCTAGTCCTATGCTTTGGATATGGGTTGTCTCCCAAAGGTGCTTGTGTGGGAAGCCTGGTCCCCAGAGCAGTAGAAGGATGTCGAGCCGTGAGGTTTAATCATAGGTCATGGGGTCTCTTCCATTATAAAAGTATTTTCTCTCTCTTTTGAGGTAAAATACTATGACATAGCATAGGCTGACCTCATTTTAAACTTGCCACCATGCCTGGCCCTCAGTTGTTGGTTAGGTCTCGTTTTGTGTCAGTTCTGAGGGAGGGGTGTAAAGCATGCCCCTTAACACCACATTCCCCTTTCTGCTTCTCTAAGACATATGAATTTCTAGATCGTTTTGAGACCTGGTCTTCTAAAGAACAAAGAGCTGAAGTATATCCAATCCACAGAGAGGCGAAATATGAAAATGAGAACAACGTCTATTAAAATCGCACTCGTAGTGGCCTGACTTCCCACTGTGGAAGGAAGCTGCGCCATGGCCTAGTGTTTAGTGCAAGGAGAGGAAGGCAGGCCGAGCCAGACCCTGTCCCTGTGGGTGAAAGGTGATAGTCTGGGTTCTATAGCTGTGAGAATCCCTTTTTTTATTTTTGTGGTGGTGGGAATCACAGTTGTAAATCTACACACACCAAAATAGGACTCAGGGCCTCTCCTCGTCTAGCGAGGTCAGTCCTCTGCCACGAGCTGTATCTCTAACCCCAGGATTTCCAAGGGGCTTGTTTCTTAATGTTTCTGACTCATGGTGGCTCTTTTGCAGGCATCACTTGTCTCCCTATTTGGGGGAGTTTGTAAAACCCCGAGATCTAGATTTGACTGTCACCTTGTATCATGGCTCTGTTGTGGAGAGAGACTCCCGCTTGCTTGGATTCGATTTGATAACATGCATTGAATTGTAAGTCTGAAAGTTGTATAAACTGTTTATTTTGAAAAATATAAAGGAGTTAGCCTCAGAAATCAACGTGATTATTTGTAAAAAGAAAATGCTCATCAGTTGGGTATATCTGTTTACTTTTAGCTTTACTTGGGAATTCCAAATATGAAGATAATTCCAAAAATAGACGGTCATCACACAGCCAGCTGTTAGTGCCCCCTTATTTTGTTACATGTGCACTGTCCCTCCACACAGTAGGTTGTTTGCTTTGTTTTAATAATTAAGGGAAGGCTGTATACATAGGCCTTTGCTCCAGTTTAAAAACTTCATTTGTGGAGTTGGAAGGATGTCTGAGGGGTGAAGAACACTTGTCCTTCCTGCACCCACGTGATAAATAACATCCATCCATAACTCCATTCCATGGGCTCCAACTCCCTCTTTGACTTCTGAGGGCATATGGTTTGCAGGCAAAATGCTCAACCTATAAAAATAAAAAAAAAGAAATTTGTATTTCTTTTTTATATAGCATTTATTTTTACATTTATGTGTATTTGTGTTTGCCTGAATGTATGTCTCTGTACTGTGTGTGTATGTGTGTATGTGTGTATGTATGTGCACACACACACACACACACACACAGTCCCTGAGGAAGTGAAAAGAGGGATTGGATCTCCTGGGACTGGAATCACAGACAGTTGACAGCCATCATGTAGGTGCTAGGAATTGAACTCTGGTCCTCTGGAAGAGCAGCCACTGAGCCATCTCCTTCTCCAGCACTTGTATTTCTTTTTCTTTTTCCTCTCCTCTCCTCTCCTCTCCTCTCCTCTCCTCTCCTCCTCTCCTCCCTTCCCCTCCCCTCCCCTTCCTTCTTCTCCCCTCCCCTCCCCCTCTCTTTCTTTTTGAAGTCTAACTTAGTCCAGGATGGTCTCAGACTTGATGTATATTATCTTGAGCTTCTCATTCTTTCTCTACTTCCCGACTGTTGGGATTATAGGTGTGTGCCAGCAAGCCCAGTTTTATGTGGTGCTAAGGATCAAAACCAGGGCTTTGTGTAGCAGCTTTATTCATAATAGCCAGAATCTGGAAACAACCCAGATGTCCCTCAGTTGAGGAATGGATGCAGAAATTGTGCTATATTTATACAATGGAATACTACTCAGCAATTAAAAACAAGGAAATCATGAAATTTGCAGCAAATGGTGGTGACTAGAAAAGATCATCCTGAGTGAGGTATCCCAGAAGCAGAAAGACACACATGGTATATACTCACATATATGTGGATATTAGACATATAATATAGGATAAACATACTAAAATCTGTACACCTAAAGAAGCTAAGCAGGAAGGAGGACTGTGGGGAAGATGCTCAATCTTAATTCAGAAAGGCAAACAGGGTAGGCATTGGAAGAGGGGGAAAATAGGGAACAGGACAGGAGCCTACCACAGAGGGCCTCTGAAAGACTCTAACCAGCAGGGTTTCAAAGCAGATGCTGAGACTCATAGCCAAACTTTGGGCAGAGTACAGGGAATCTTATGAAAGCAGGGGGAGATAGAAAGACCTGAAAGGGACAGGAGCTCCACAAGGAGAACAACAGAACCAAAAAATCTGGGCCTAGGGGTCTTTTCTGAGACTGACATCCCAACCAAGCACCATTCATGGAGATAACCTAGAATCCCTGCACAGAGGTAGCCTGTGGCAGCTCAGTGTCCAAGTGGTTGCCCTAGTAAGGGGAGCAGGGGCTGTCTCTGACATGAACTCATGGCCTGCTCTTTGATCCCCTCCCCCTGAGGGGGGAGCAGCCTGACCAGGCCACAGAGGAAAACAGTGCTGCCAGTCTTATTGAGACCTGATAGGCTAGGGTCATATGGAAGGGGAGGAGGACATCCCCTATCAGTGGACTAGGAGAGGGGCATGGGAGGAGAAGAGAGAAGGAGGGTAGGATTGGGAGGGGATGAGGGAGGGGCCTACAGCTGGGATACAAAGTGAATAAATTGTAATAAATAAAAAAGTAAATTAAAAAAAATCTAGTTAGCATTTAAAACATTTTTGGCTTTTTTTTTGGGGGGGGGTACTTTCTGAGACAGGGTCTCTCCGTGTAACAGCCAAGGCTGTTCTGGAGCTCACAGAGGTCCCTCTGCCTTTGCCTTCCTAGTGCTGGGATTACAGGCATTCACTACCACATCTGGCCTGGGAGTTTAGTAGTAATGTCCTTTGTTTGTCTGTCAATCATCTGGAACAGGTTTGCCCAGTCTTTCTGCTTTCTAGAACATCCCTTAATCTGGATTTGTTTTAGTAGTTCAATCTGAGATTTAGAGGATTCTTTTTTCAGGTGGGGGCTATTGAATCAAGTGCTTCATTTGTGCTAAGCTAGTGCTACAGCAATGAACACTACTTACCGTCCCAGGGAATATGTTGTCTGTTCACATGCGCACATAAATGCGTGGAAAGTGGAGACCAGAGTTCAGTGCCCTGTGTCTTCCTCAGTCACTCCTGAGATAGGGTTTCTCTCTGTAATCCTGGCTGTCCTGGAACTCACTCTGTAAACCAGGCTGGCCTCTCAGAGATCTGCCTGCCTCTGCCCCCTGGGTGCTGGGAAAAAAAGGGTGCGCCACCGTGTCTGACCACCTTGTGTTTTTGAGATGTGCACCTGGACCTTGCTGAGTGGCTACACTGGCTGGCCAGCAAGCCCTCGATCTTCCTATCTTTGCCTCCCAGCATTGGGGTTACAGATGTTGTGTCCCCATGCTAGATTTTTTTCCCGTGAGTGCAGGGGGTCTGAACTTAGCTCCTTATTCTTTCACAACAAGTATGTCCATAAGTATGTGTGAGTTGAGGTGCCCCTGGAGGCTAGGAGAGGGCATCAGATACCCTGGATCTGGAGTTACAGATGGGTACTGGATCCTCTGTGAGAGTAGTATGAGTTTGTGCTTGCTGAGCTGTCTCCGCAGCTGCCTGGGAATTCATCTTTGAACAGAGCACAGAGAAGTAATGTTTTGTGCTTGGGGCATCAAATCAAGGAATGTACAAGCTCAGATACTCTTAAAAAAGGAATATTGATCTGAGCTATAGAAAATGCAGCAGATGGTCTTAGTTGGCGGGTTGTTCTGGGCAAAGCTAGGAGTGGGAAGCAATTGTTCATATGTTGTGGGCCGTCACATTACCAAAGGAGGGAGAACTCAGCAGCCAGGTAGGATTGTTTTTTGCTAAGTCAATTAGAGAAATACATTCACATGAAGCCATACTAACTCTCTGTTTCTTATTAACATCGTAGAATAGAACATTTGGATTCAGATGATCTGGCCAGATTTCCTGAAGTGGTTTTTGGATACCTATCACCAGCCATGATTGTCATCAGCACACCAAATGCTGAATTCAACCCCCTGTTTCCCACAGTGACCCTGAGGGATGCAGATCATAAGTTTGAGTGGAGCAGAATGGAGTTTCAGACCTGGTAAGTTTGGAAGGTCTTATTTCCCTCTTTGGTAGGAATCTTGTTATAGGAAGTAAGCTTGGCTATGCTTGTCTTACCTAAACTGTTTCTTACTTCATTCCAGCAAGGTCTCCATGTATGACTTACAGTGTAATAGGATCACAAGGAAAGCAGAACATTTGGGCAGCAGGAGAAAAGAGTATGTGCCTACTGGATGCTCTTTAAGAGGCACCTGTAGTGTTGGCATAGGATGAGGACCAAAATTGGGAAGGTCTGGGCTGTGAGGTGAGCTCACGCCCATGCTTTTGGGGGTGGCGTCTTGGTTTCTGCACAGTATTTGGTGTAATTCCAAATGTATGTAGTTTAGGCTGGAGCCTTTTTGAGGTCTCCTCATCCACCCCTATCGTCTGCCTGTCCTGTAGCCTCCCTTTTCTTTTCCTGTGGTGACTTGGAAATTGAAAATGTGTCATCGCCTTTGTTCCCTACAGAAACCCGGCACCCTGGTGATACATTTGTATGTCTGCATAGGAATGTTTAACTTTAAATTTTTCTGAGGTAGTATCTCCTTACATAGCTCAGGCTAGCGTTAAACTCCTGACCCTTCTGCTTCATTAGTCCAAGCGGCAGGACAGCATGCACTGCCATGCTTGGCTTAGAAATGTTTTGATTCATCATATTTCCGTGTTTCCTAACACTGCCAATGAGAAGTCACTTAAGAATTGTTTGCTTGGTAAGCTGTTTAGCCATACTGTATGTTCAGAGAAGTGATTGCTCTTTGTTGTTTGATTTCAGGGCTTCACAAGTGGCAAACTGCTACAATTACTGTGTGGAGTTTACTGGGGTAGGGGCACCGCCAGCTGGATCTGAGCATGTTGGATATTGTACCCAGATAGGGGTCTTTAGGAAAAACAGTGGGATGCTAGCTGAACCCTCTGTTTCACAGCAGCACGACCAGCATGTTTATAAGGCTGTGAGTATTCCTTGTGAGGAAGCTGTCGGGGCTAGGAAGGCCATGCATTAGCATGGTGGAGGATGAGGATGGGGACTGCTACTGTGACTACTACCATCCCCTCCTCCTTCCTTCCCTCTTCTCTCTCCTCCTTCATCCCTATCCCCTCTTCCTTCTTTCTCCTTTCTTCCACTCCCTTCCCCCTACTTCTTTTTTTCTTTGTTACTGGTTTCCAAAGTAGAAAGGAGGGGTATACATGACCTTTTTTTGTAATTTTTTTTTTCTCTCTTCTCTTTCTGTCTGTCTTTCTTGACTCTGTAGCTCTGGCTGGCCTGGAACTTGTTATAGAGACTGGGCTGGCCTTGAACACACAGAGATCTACCTACCTCTACCTCCCAAGTGCTGGGATTAAAGGCGTGTGCCACCACACCCAGCTAACTGACCTAATTTTGAGGCTCATCATAGAAAGATCCATCAGGCTCCATGAGAACTGGCAGGTTTGGCCTATGGCACCCTTTCAGACTGCCTGGCCCCTTGGTAATATGCTTCAGAGAACATTTTGCTGGAGGTCTTCTCAGGGTGTATCAAAGCAGGACATATGCTGCTTCCTTTGTAATCTCTTAGGGTCCTCAGCAGTAAAGAGAAGGCCAGTAACAGTTCTTCAGCCTGTGATTAGATGTGATTAGAGTAAGGAGGTGAGTGAGTGTAAGAAAACACACACATGTACACACACACATTCACAAACAAAATACACAAACACAACACACATACACAGACAACACATACAACATACAAACACATAACACCCATAAACACATATAACACATACACCTGCACACACACCTCATCTTTCAAAAGAATACATTCTTTCCTTGATGGAATAATTTTCAGTTATTTTGAATTTTTCTTTGGCCTGTGTTTTCCTTGGTTGGACTGGAGTGGCCCTGATGTCTTGGGTCAGTAGCTCTCCTGCTTGAGCCTTTCAGGAAGCTGGGGTCACAGGCATGTACCACTGGTATAGATTGGACCATTCTTTTCTTTTTACACTGGTTTCCATGTATCATTAAGTAGAAGCACTGGGCTAAGGGTTTGATCTGACTCTCAGTCATCTGTTAACTCCAGTCGCACCTGGATCCAGAGCCCTCTTCTGGCCTCAGTGGGTATCAGACACACATGCACTGCACAGACATACATGCAAGCAAGACATTCATACACAGAAAATCCTAAAATAAATTAAAAAACCAAAAGGAATACTGGGTTAGTGCCTTTTGTAGAAACCTGCCTGGGATTTAATAGGCATTAGAATCGGAAGGACAGTTAGGTGAGGTCCACATGCTTGACTCCCAGGAAAATGAAGGCTTTTACCATGAGATGCTTATACGTATGCAGGATGTACACATAATTCTTATGCGGCTGAGTTACTGATGGTTTAAAAAGCTTTGTATTCTGCTTGGTTTTTCTTCCGTTCAGGTTTATACAACGTCCTACCCGAGTTTACAGCAGGAAAAGGTGCTCAAGTTTGTACTGGTTGGGGAACTCCTGATACAAGTGGAGCGCTTGAGGCTGAGGCACCAGAGAACGCTGAGGGAGCAGGAGAAGGAGCTGGACCCTGAGGCGGGGGGCTCGGACTTGTCCCCAGCCCCCCACCTACTGCTGGGAGCAGTCTTCACGGAGGCTGAAAAGGCCAGGATAGAAAATTCTCCCAAACCCTTCTGTGAAGGAGAGAAGTTTTGCATACCCCTGCAGAGACTGCTTGCTTATCCCAAACTGCACCGCCTCTGCGCTGACGAAGAGAGGATGCGGTACCTCATCGCTGACTCGGTGTGCCTAAGCAGTGACGGTTCTGCAGTCATGGTTGACCTGCACAATTCCTGGGATTATCGGTTTGAAGATAATTAAGCTGTGCCAGTTTCCCGAAGCTCAGAACCCTGCTGATAGTTTGGCTTCATTTAGAATGAAAACTTTTTTTTTTTTTTTTGTAGCGGTGCTGGGAATGGAACCCAGAGCCTTTTACATGGTAAGCAAGCACTCTGCCACTCAGCTGCGTCCTCAGCCCTAGGGTTCAAACTTTGTACAGTCATAATTCAAGTAATATTTTGAGTTTTAACACAAATTGGGTCCTGAACTCATTGACAGATATGCCTGACATAACAGACTGCTCTTTGCCTGAGAAAGGGCTTAACTAAAAGTAGTTGCTTTCCTTTAAAATTGAATTTTTAAAAAAATTTGGTGTTTACAAGAATGAAGAAATTGGATGTGGTAGTGTGTTAATTTTGTCCTCACCCATATCTTGGTGTTAGAGCCGTATGTTGAACGTGACATTAAAATGTTTAAATGTAATCAAAGCCACTTGAGAACCTTTCCCAGGGCTGGGCATAGAGGCCCATATCTGTAATCCTAGTGCCCAGATAGAGAGTCATGGCTTTGAGGGCAGCTTGGGCTACATGGTAAGACCCTATCTCAAAACCCAAAACCAATTCCTCTGCCCAGTTTTTCTCAGGGTTGATATAGCTTTAAAATTGAGAATTATCTTTTATATCAAAAATCTACCAATTATACTTTGCATACAGCACTGTATGAAAAAGGAACACTTGTTTTTGACAAGTATGGAAATCATCCTAGTCCATTTTTTTTTCATTGTGGTGCTGGAGGTTGAACCCCAGGGCTTTGCACATTCTAGGCAAGTGTTTTACCAGTGAGCTGCACCCCCACCCCCGTATGAACACCCTCCCAGAGCTTCCTGGCTGGAGTTGGGGTGGTAGTAGCTGCAGGAAAGAGAAATGTCTTTGTTTAATGAATAAGGGGCTTCAAGGAGATATTCTTGTGTGAGACATGGGAGTCTAGAGGTCACTCAAACAGGCATGGCTGCTCTGCAGTGTCAGAGACCCTGGTGTCCATCCTAATGACTGTGAAGAGATGGAGGGTTAGTCTTTTGACATGCACAGCTACACCAGCAGAAAGGAAGAGAGGTTCAGCACATTAGCTTCCTGCTGTACGTTGCTGCTGGTTGCTAGGCAACACTACCGACCTAACATAAGGCAGTGAGGGATGTTGAGAAGTGTAGTCTGCATTCTGAGGGGCCACGTGCATATTCGGCCATCTCCTAAGGAACCAGAAGAAAACGGACATGGTGACAAACTGCCTGTGCCACTCCATAGTCTGACCCCCCTGAGATGTGTTCTGTGGCTACAAAGTTGGTCCCTAAGCAAGTGCTCTGTGGACACTTATTCTTAAGCTGCATCTTCAAGGATTAATAATCAGTGGATTTGGTGTAGAGAAAACTCTTAATCACAAAAGCACTGCTAACCAGCTGCCTTCTTGAATCTCATAGACTAATCCATCGGCTCTCCATGTGCTCACAGGTGGACGTGACCTGGACAGATTTGCATTCCTCTCCCCACCCAAATGCCCTCTGTCTTCACCTTTCCATGTCTGTGCCCAAGGTTTGCCTTAGGGCTCCCCGCTCATCTTGGCTCTTGGCTGAACTCTTTTCTAGCCAGGGTCAAGCGCTTGATCATATCTTCCCCCAGAGTTAGTCTGTCAGTTATCTTGAAGCCCAATGACTTGATCTCTTACCCGCATACCCTTTATGGACTTAAAACTTATGGGGACTAGAACTGCTCTTTCATTTCCTGCGCCTGCCTCTTTCTTTTCCCCAGGGCTGCCCACATGCTAGGCCCGTGTTCTTAGTTTGTGTTCACCTCCCAGCTTTGACAAATGCATTTCTTTGCGCATTGGAAGGTTTACTAACATTTTCAACCAGGGATCGTCGTAGTTCTTTTAGGAAACCTTTGCAGGTAATATGGTCCCTATCATAAGTAATCAACTCCACTTGAGTTGAGGCATAAAGGAATCTTATGTTAAACATAAGCAGGTGTACTTCCAGTTATTAAACATCTTCCAGAAGCAGCTGTTAGAGTTAGTCTATAGTGCTCCGTTCCTTTCTCTCTCTGGTGCTAAGCACGTAGCCTGGGCCTCTGTGTGCAGACCCTCGTTTAAAGTCACGCTCTTACCCTTGAGCAGCACACAAAGGGGGGGGGTCCTTTCTAAAGCATGAGGACAATTAGCGAGCACAATCTCCAGCGGGGCATGCCTGTGATCCCAGCACTTGGGAATCAGAGAGGTTCAGAAGTTCAGAGTCATCCTCCGCTTATAGTGAGTTTGAAACCAGCGTGGGTTACATGAGGCTCTGTCTCAAGAAAAACACCCTCCCCCCCAAAAAAAAAACCCCTCTCTACACACACAATAAAAACCAAAGGCAGAAACAACCAATAAGGTTTGCTAGGGAGTACTGCTCCATGTGTGAAATGAGGTGTAATATCTGTATTCGGAAGCTCTTATAAATGCTGGAGAGAGAGGGTTGTATTGACCTAGTTAGAGAGTCAGTGTTATCAAACTTTTTCAGAGTAGCCAAGTACCTGGTAGCCTTCAAGAAACAAGTGGACTAGTGCAAACGCACAGCCTAGTGCGTGCGCAGTCCCGTGTCCTCTACAGAATGACTTTCACATTGCTCCTAACCAGACTCCGCACACTCACACGCACACTCCTGAGGGAACCGTGTCCTCTTCCACTGTCCCTACTCAACCCATCAGCAGTGATCCTTTCGCTTTCTCTCAGCACAGCTCATGTGAGCCTTGCCCCTGGAGCTTGATGTTGAGTGACAGATCTCTTCTTTCCTATTCCATCCCAGTCTGGAAATTTTTAGGGAGCTTCCCAGGAAATCAGACATGGAAAATGCACTCCTTGAGGTCCTAATGCCTCATGCTGCCTTTGCACCTCAAACCTCACAAGCCTTGGAGCGAGGGAACCCTTTAGGATCTTATTAATCTGGAGACATTTAAGAATATCTCTGCTGGGATCCAGTCCAGGAACCTGCAGATCTTAAGCAGGTCCTTTGCTGAGGTCTACCCCAGGCACAAGTGTTTTGTGTAATTTTAGCCTCACCCCCTTTGTTTTCCTGCTTGGGAGCTGCTAGGAATATATTGTCCCTTATAGTTTGACTAAAGCATATTCACTGCTGTCATTTTCTGGCTAAGCATTGGTTCATGCTGAGAAGTTTGTGGATGTGGAGACGAAGTATACTTTCTTTTAAGCTTAAAGTGTTTGAGACCGTATTTCCTTTTCACTGTGTAGCTGAATATGGCCTTGAACTTCTTGCTTCTACCTCCCAAGGGCTGGGATTACATGCTTGTGCCACCACAGCCCATTGCCTGCAGTGCTGGGGATTGAACCCAGGGCTTAGTACATGCTGGGCAAGCACTTTACCGACTGAACTCCATCCCTAGCCCCCAGATGTTTGAGATCTAGGTGGGGAAGGTTGTTGACACATTTAAGTCTTCCTCAAAACAAACATAAAACAGCAGCCACACCCCAAGTGCCCTTCCTTCCTTAGTCTCAGCATGCCGGAGGCCTGAGTTTGATCCACTAGCAGCACAAAATAAAAGGTTGACTGGATATGGTGCCACACACTTGCCATGTCAACACTCAGGAGGCAGAGACAAGTTTGAGGTCAACATGGCCTACATTGCCTGCTGAAGGGCAGTCACGGGTACATAGTGAAACCCTGTCTCAAAGCAAACACTGTGCAAATTATTTTTCTTATAATCTTATAATTTAAATTATGAAAGGAAAAGTATAGTTCATAGCAATACATCTAAAGTAAAGCTAGTCATACCTTTCTTCTTATCCTTAATACCCACTATCTCATAGCCTCTTGGGAACTCCTGGCTTCTCCCATTCATTGCTTCCTGAGGAGCAGCTCTGCTCACCTTCTGCATAGAATCCAGTTGGTTGGTTGTTTTATGTAAAATTTCAACAAACAGCATAAGCGCATTAATTTACACTTGTCCTTGTTCTTTTACTACTATATATTTTAAATATTTACTTTTTAAGTCTTATGGAAATTTGTGTGTATCTGTGTCTGTGGAGGTCACATGGGCACAGTGGATCCCTGAAGCTGGAGTTCCAGGCTTTTGCTGGAGTGTTGGAGCTGGGAACTGAATTTCAGTCCTGTACAAGAGCAGCAAGTGCTCTTAACTGGGAACCGCCTCTCTAGCCGCTACTGTATATTTTTGATGCAGCTTTGTCATTAGCAATTTATAAATGCAACTGGATGTGCCTCTTTCTGTATTGACAAAATGTTCTTTTACACAACATTAGTTGTATATGCTGTAAATTCCCGATTGCTCTTTGTACTTACATTTTTAAATTATTTTCTGTGTATGGGTGCCTGAGCCTGTGGGCAGAGTCAAATAGTTCCTGAGTGGGGAGTGAGGACTGATAAAAAAATAACACACTACACATGAGATCAATTCGGAGGGGGCCAGTAGAAACTGTCACACCTAGTTTAGTCCATGACTCCTTTTTATAGTCAGAGCAAAGCACCTTGAAACAATGAAGGGGTTCACAGAGAAGTCAAACTTACTTACCTCAACCACTTGTTTTGCCTGCTTTTATGCCTGTGAACCAAGTGCATGTGGTACTCCTGGAGGCCAGAGGAGGGCATAGGATTCTCCGGGGACCGGAGTTAGAGACAGTTGTGAGCTGCCGCATGGGTGCTGTGAATTGGATGTGGGTCCTAGGAAGAGCAGCCGGTGCTCAAACCGCTAATGTCCCCAATTACTCTTAAGAATGTAAAGAAATGTCCCTCAACAGCTTACCTTTCTTACCACTTCCTAAAAATCACTATCAAATATCTCTGTTCACTAAGTGTAGGTTACAGTTTTGCAGGAACTAATGACCTTTTAGAGGGCAGGTTGTTTCTCACTCTTATTCACACCCCAGGTATGCCATTGAATGGGCCATATAGTGTTTTAAAAAATTATTTACTTATTTAATTTGTATGGGTATAGTTGTTTTCTCATGGTGCTGCAGCCATCAGGGCAGAAGAAGGCATCAGATCTTCTGGAACTGGGTTGCAGACAGTTGTGAGCATGGGTGATGGGAATTGAACCCAGATCCTCTGGGAGACAATTGGCACTATTAACCACTGCGCCATCTCCCCAGGTCTCTCTGGGCCACATATTAATACGAATTAAATTGGTAATGAATAATATGGTTTTGTAAGAGGCAGAATTTTACCTTAACGTTTAGTAAGTTTACATGTCACACAGCAGGGGCCCCATTCCCAGACTATATGTGAAATATTGTTATGCCCAGTTCATGAGACCCCCCAAAGACCACCAGGAATTGACTCTGCTGCAAACACATGAGGGTTTAATACAAGCTCGAGCCCGGGTCACAAGTTCTCTGTGGAAACAGAGAGGTATGCAGCCCCGAGGTCTTGGGGAACAGG